TGTGGCCGAGTTGGTAGCATGTTTGCGTCCTGCCCATAAGGTCCCGGTTTCGATCCCCAGTTGGGTCCATGGATTCCCACTGATGATGAGATGATGATGAAACAGCTGTCCACATCTTCCCAGCTTTTCACTTCTCTCCATATACACAATAAATTTCCCCTTCGAAATTGAATCAAGCCCTCCATTACTCACATAAAACAAATACAAAAACGTTCATTTGGTGAACTCAAGCCCATACGCTACGAGGCGGATTATAAAAACAAAATCGTCTCTTTCTACCAAGGTGAAAACGCGTGGTTTAATTGATACATTCAAGTGCATCAAGGACTATGATTTTCTGATCGAAACTGAATTCTGAAGTGCATGATGTAAATTTAGCGAAGATTAGAGTAACACTTTCGGGAGCTGATTAGTTTCAGAAATTTGATGGAATGGGAATTAGGCCAACTGTGTAAGCAATGTGGTATTGCTTTTACCTCGATGAACTTCCGCTTATTCTTCATAAGTTCTTGGAACAACGCTCATATTCTGTGGAATAGCCTCTACCTCACAACAAGAAAATCGTTTAAAATAACGATGGAAATAAAAGCAAAAGACGCGCAGGTGATACTTAGAAAGTATAATTGCCAATTTGAGCAATTGTACACAGGTTTCAATTGCAGTACATGCCCATCAAAAACATTCGGAGTTGATTGACCAATTCAAATGCGCGGTTGGCATCGAGGTGTACAAACGGTACAACGCCATGCATTACATGGCCACTTACTCGTCGATCTGTTCGCGGACAATCGGGCAGGATTCCGTGTGTTTCTCGAGTACATTAACGTGATGCGTCGAATGTGGAATCTGTTAGAGTTTCAATCCAATTTCATCAATGATTATTTTTGTGATTTGTGGTTGAATCGTACCAAACATTCCCTTCGATTGGCCATCAAATTTTTCTTAGTCACCTGTATGCTTATTGTCGTCGAACCGATCCTCACCTGCCCGGTGGATAAACAAGTATCCCGATGGTATTGGCAGGCCACTTTCGTCACATTTCTTATTTTCTATCTGTTTACCTTTCGGGCAGTTGATCATGAAACGTATGCGAATGTGGGACTGGCTATCTGTTTGTTACACATTAGCACACAGCTTCCGATCCGATGCCAGGTGCATAGTCGTAACGCTCCGCTATTCAGTCCGGCATTTGTGACCGTGTTCACCACATTTGTCATGCTTCCGATTCGATTGGAATTGGCCTTTTGTTTGATTATTGTATTTATTGTGGTTTTGGAATCGTTGGATTTGGTTTATGATAACGAATTGTTTCATCGTTCGCAAGCCGAGAACTATAAAATCCCATTGGATAGGTGGATTGATTACGATTTGGCCCGAATGATGGCCACGCAATCGTTCGTGATGAAACGCACCAAACATGTGCTCTCTGCACGTCTACTTCTCTGGATCATTGTTTGCGTGTCCGCAATCTACACACGCTCGTGGAACACAGTCAGACGACGTTATGCATTCTACAAATTGGGCAAAAGTGTGCAAGCTCGAACACAGTGTGCCAAAGCACATCAGGGCAAAGTGAATTGGATTGAGGCTATCATGCCATTACAGGTCAGTGAGGAATATCAGCGTATGCGAAAAATTAATGATCATTTCAATGTGACCGATTGGGTGTACATACGTGCGTACGAGAATGTGAGCATCCTGTTTGCTGATGTGGTCGGTTTTACCACACTTAGTTCCAAATTGTCCGCACTACAAATTGTCACCATCTTGAACGAATTGATCACACAGTTCGACGAAGTTTGTCAAAACACACATTGCGAGAAAATCGGTGTAATTGGGGACTGTTATTATTGTATGTCTGGGTGTCTGGAGTTTCAGTCCAATCCGGCCGTGTGTTGTGTGGAAATGGGTTTGGGCATGTGTGCCATATTGAAAGCATTTAACCGGGAACACCAATTCTCGGTCAATATTCGTGTCGGAATTCATACCGGGCGTGTGCACACGGCTATCTTGGGCTCACAACGATTTCGTTACGATGTATACTCTTACGATGTGATGATCGCAAACGAACTGGAAGCGACCGGTCGACCGGGAATGGTTCATATCAGTCAGGACACATTTGATCGTCTGGCAGATAGATACACAGTCACACCGGGACCGGATTTAGTCGTGGACAAACGAGATACGTCCTTTCTACTTCGTCGTACAGCTGCCAGTGTACGAATCCGAACATATTTTATCGATCCGGATGATACACGGCTAACACTTGTAAAACGAGATGAGCAGATTCATGAACTGGTCTCGAGCGACATTATCGACACTTCAGAAACGAGTGTACCATTCTACAGCATGAATGATGATACGGAAGATAGTTTGGAAGTGCAAGATGTGGCAACTGGCACGGCTGTCTGGGCGGAATACGCAATGTCAGCCGAGGCATTGGCAGATATTAAACTCAGTCATCAAACAAATGCAATGAATTTGAAACGTGATATTGAGTTCATTAAAGATTTACGATCTGATCCGGCTAAACATTCTTTACTGTTTCACAGTCCCCCGGTCACGTCTGTTTTGTTGCAATTCAATAATCCGGAAGTTCAGTGGCACTATCAATTGCACACGAGGTACCGAATCGGTGCCACATTTGTTGACTCAGTCAAATTGGCCCGAGTGGTCGATATCATATTGATTTTCCTCGTGATTGTTGTATTGTGTAGCTTTGGAATGATGAGTAATTTGGAACAAGTGATCATTCTGACCTATGTGTTCACACTGACAGTTGCGGTGCTCATATTTTTCAGCTTATGGTTAATCGGGACCAACTATCCAGAAACTATAGAATACAATTGGCTACGTGGCTACTATCTGTTCTGTTCCCATCCATTTGTGCGTGAAGTACTCATCGGAATCTATACTTGTCTGCCGACTGTGATCACAATCGTGAATCGGAACAGTATGTCTCGGAATACAGACGCAGAAAGTTTCACGTACATACTCGGTGCAATGAACTACATCAGTCTGCTGGCTCATTCGTTACCCTCATCATCCGCGGCCTGGGCTCGTACGTTGTTCTGTGTGCTTAGTCTCATCCTGATCTCCACTCATCAAATCGAATTCTATAATCAATCGATTTCGAACAAATTCTGTTTGGCCAATATGACACTCCTGAATGGTTTGCCTTTGACCCGCGTATTTTTCACACACTATTTACAGTTGATTGTGTGCCTGATCCTTGTGATTGTGCTTGCCCGGGAAAGTGAACGTATTTGCAAACTGTGTTTCTACGTGCATCGAGAGGCGGAAATTGAGAGTGAGGCAGCTGAGAAAATTGTGGCCGAAGCGAACGATCTACTCTACAACATCATACCGGCCTATGTGTTTGAAGAATTGAAAGAAACAGGCCATGCGGATCTGTCCAAGGCAGCCGATTCGAAATTGCGCTATGCGGTTGGACACCAAAATGTGGGCGTGGTATTTGTATCCGTGACCAAATTTTTCGCCACCGTGTACCGTGAAGATGAGGGTGGTGGGGAACGTTCGTTGCGTCTGTTGCATAAGATTATTTGCTCGTTTGATGAATTGTTACGCAAACCGGAATACAAGGATGTGGAAAAAATTAAATCGATGAATGAGAATTATCTAGTCGCGGCCGGTTTGAATCGGAAATTGTTGGCCATGAATCGGGATCCGTCGGCACATTTAGTCGCCCTAATGAATTACTGTTTCGAAGTGCGTCGTGTGGTTCGATCATTTCGCACGTATGAACTAATTGAGACGGGGCCATTGATTCCGAAATTGGGTTTCAATTTCGGTCCCTTGACTGCCGGGATTATTGGGACTTCCAAACCGCACTATGATATTTGGGGTGATACGGTGAATGTGGCTAGTCGAATGTGTTACACAAGTGTACCGGGACCGATTCAAGTGCCCGAATGGGTTCGGGATAGATTGCATTTTTACTTTGCATTTCGATTTCGCGGGGAAATTTTTGTCAAAGGAAAAGGAATTATGCGTACCTATTTTTGTGAAGAACCCCCCAGTCCGATAAATTCGAGCCTTGGTGAATCGGAGGACAATTGAACACATATTCATTTGATCATTTATCAAGATTACAATTTTTGATGTAAAATTTTCATTTATTATTTTTGATATATTTTTCTCGTTCAAATAAATGACGAATACGTAAAAAAAAATTTATTTTTGATGTAGATTTATCGTTTATAATAAACGATCTGGCGCTCTTGATGTTTGTTTTATCCCTATGGAGACTAATCAGCAATGTGTACTTTCTATGTTTCAGCCGACCCTAGTACAGTGCACCTTCGGGATTGGAGTCCACTTTCATACATGGTCAACGACAAACACGTTGAGTAAATGATTTCGAGTTGACTTTGAGTGCTAGTTCGAGAACCAGTGTGTGAAGAATAAGTTCACATCTACACCAAACAATCTACACACAGAATTTGGTTATCCTAAAGTTGAATGGAGCTAATCCAAAAATGACATTGTTGCTGAGAAAATATAATTGTAGACCATTTATATTTGCACATTGCTGTCTGTGCAGTAGTTCAAAAATTCACTTGAACAACCGGTAGGCCCGTATCGAGGTTACACGAAGGCTATTAAGTGTTAGAGACAGTGTACAAGCCCGATTACTCGAAAATCACATCCTCTATTGGCTGAGATATATTAGTTTGCCAACGGCCTAGGGTGTTGCTACAACAAGCAGTGATTGTGAGAAAGTCAAACACTTATCTCATCTAGATTTATGAAAAATGTGGCCAGTTGATTTCTCCATGTAAATCAGTCCAGAATCATGGCCTGAAATTCATGATTCGAGACATTGATTTGTGTGCCCGTTAAACAGTTATATTTGCATGCATACCACGTTTACCTCCATTGCGTGTCTCAATTTGCTACTGCTTACAGCTTTTACTGCCTGATTGATAGGCGAATCGAACGGGAACTCGGAAGGTAACACACTCTATTGCAAGGCTAACTAACTATAATTGTATTCTATGCCCTTGATATGAGGAACTGATACAGGACAAGGCCACTGAAGAGATATTATTAAAATATATTTATAACTTGTCATCGGGCTGACATACCTTCCGCACTGCGTATTCCGTGCGCGCAAACCTTTTATCACATGGTCGCATGACATCAAATGCCTCAGTTACGACAAAATGTACTTTTGATCTCTTAACTCCATGTATTATTGTGATATTACCTGCTCTGTCAGTTCGCACTTAAGTTTGTAGGGTTTTACCAACTGGAGTAATGGGTTAGTGTTGATTTAGTTGATGATAAATGAAAAGCAAAACTTGATATTTTTGTTTCATTGGAAATGCTTTGATGTTATTTATTTCAGTTTTGCATATTCAAAAAAATAGTTTTACACATTCGCACATTTATTTATGCAATGATGACACAGTGATCGTACGATGCGATCTCCAAATAATCTACCAAATTTTGAGGAAAATGTATTTGACGGTGAACTGATCGTATGAATGAAGCCTGATTAAATGATGTTAGAAGTGCAACGAAAAATCGATGCGCCATGTGTTGTTTTATAGTGAATATCATAGTGTTAATAACACAGCGATATCGGTGGAGAATTATATTCGCGGACCTTTTGATTGCAAAACCTGCCTTGAGAAAGGTTACCCACGGTAGCCGAAACGTCTGCGAACACAATTCTCTACCAACATCGCTGTTATTAACATTATAACAGTCACAACGAAGCCTGGTTAGTCTTGCTTTTTCTTGTTTCATATACTGTCTACTACGTAGTACTATAATTGTGATTCCTAAGATGTGTAGAATATGACCATAAAGTTAACACCCATTGAAGGTTATGTCACTTTGAGGATGTTCAATGTTCTCGTACTAGCTTTAGCCAAAACCCGTAATCCTTTAGCCTCGACCCGTAATGCTTTAGCCAAAATCCACATTCCTTTAGCCAAAACCCACATTCCTTTAGCCAAAACCCACAATCCTCTA